TCTATTCTATTCTATTCTATTCTATTCTATTCTATTCTATTCTATTCCATTCCATTCATATTCTGCATTGTTTTGTTCTGTTCCATTCCATTCTATTCCATTCCATTGTTTCCTGTTATTCTATTCTATTCCATATTCTATTCTATTCCATATTCTATTCTATTCTCTATTCTATTCTATTCTATTCTATTCTATTCCATTGTTTCCTGTTATTCTATTCTATTCTATTCCATATTCTATTCTATTCTATTCTATTCCATTCCATTCCATTCCATTCATATTCTGCATTCTGTTTTGTTCTGTTCCATTCCATTCTATTCCATTGTTTCCTGTTATTCTATTCTATTCTATTCTATTCTATTCTATTCTATTCTATTCTATTCTATTCTATCCTATCCTATCCTATCCTATCCTATCCTATCCTATCCTATCCTATCCTACTCTACTCTACTCTATTCTATTCCATTCCATTCCATTCCAAAAATGGATTATATTACTTGCAAGCACAACTGGGCCAAAAAATTCTGTTCCTAAGCGAGACAGTTGTTAAATTAGTCTTGCCCCTTTTTACCACTTTTCTTGCCACAATTGTTAAATGAATCACTGTAGTTGTTAGTAAAACAGTTGTTAAGTGAATCTGGCTTCCTTTTGACTTTGCTTGTCAGAAGATCGCAAAAGGGAATCATGTGACACCCCCCCCCCCCCGGGCCATTGCGACCGCGGTAAATAGGACCAGTTGCCAAGCGTCCAAATTTTGATCATGTGACCATGGAGGTGCTGCCAACGGTTGTAAGTGTGAAAAATAGTCAGTGCCATTATAGTTTCAAATGGTCACACTATCTTTACTGTAATAGATAAATATAAAAAATAATTCACATCCTGGACATAAAGTGCTTCAACTCCTTCCCCCAAAACAACGCTACAGACAGAGCACTGCAGACCAGAACAACTAGACACAAAGACAGTTCTTCCCCAAACGCCATCACTCTACTAAACAAATAATTCCTACAATACTATCAAACCATTTACAAAGTCTGCACTACTATTACTGTTAACTTTCTCATCATTCCTTATCCTCCATCCCCTCCCACTTGTGACTCTATGACTATAACTTTGTTGCTTGTATCCTTATGATTTATATGGACTGTTTCCTAGTATGATTTGATTATTTATTGTATCCTGCGACTATCATTAAGTGTTGTTCCTTATGATTCTTGACTCTTGGTGAAAGTATCTTTTCTTTTATGTGCACTGAGAGCATTTGCACCAAGACAAATTACTTGTGTGTCCAATCACACTTGGCCAATAAAGAATTCTGTCTGTCTGTCTGTCTGTCTGTCTGTCTGTCTGTCTGTCTGTCTGTCTATCTATCTATCTATCTATCTATCTATCCATCCATCCATCCATCCATCCATCCATCCATCCATCCAAGGAGAAATCAGAAATAGCCTGCTTGCAACCTTTATGCACTATTGATTCGGTTTATAAACCGCTCTTAACTGTTGTGGATCGTGGGCTGCGGGTCATGTTTAATCCGAATATCCAACGGGACCTTTTTCTATGTCCCTGACTACCTATAGTCCTCAAGTTACGACCACAACTGAGCCCGGAACGTATGCTGCTAAGTCAGAAATTTGTTAAGTTTTGCCCCATTTTACGACATTTCTTGCTACGTTTGCTAAGTAAATCGCAGTAGTTGTTAAATGAGTAATACGGTTGTTAAGTGGAAATGGCTTTTCCCTTGTCAGGTCGCAAAAGGGGATTACATACCCCCCCCCCCCCCCGGGGACACTTCAACTGTCATAAGTAAGAGTCCATTGTCAAGCATCCGAATGTAAATCACATGGCCACGGGGATGCTGCAACGGTCCAAAGTCAGGAAAACGGTCATAAGTCCCTTTTTTCAGTGCCCTTGTAACTTTGGTCACTAAGTGGACTGTTGTAAGTCAAGGACTACCTGTATTCAGTCAACTGGGCCGATTCATAAAATCCAGCCAAACTAAACAAAGAAGGAAAACTGTGCTGGGCGAAGGCTCTTTAACCGTTGAGCAAACACAGCCGCCTCAAAGCTCCGCGAAGCCACATTCCTGAGGCAAGGCCGACTCGGCTGCGGATGATGGGGCCGGGCTCCAGGCATCCGGAGCGATCCCTAGGCCGGTAGAAGCGGGCAGGCAGCGCCCGAAGCCCCTTCCTCACGCCCACCGCCTCTCTCTACCTGCCCCTCGGCCGGGCCCAGCCAGCCCTCGAAGAGACGGCGACCCCCCGCCCTCCATCCCGGCCGCTTCCAGGGGGAGGAGACTCCCAGCAAGGCTCCCGCTCCGCTCGCGCCCACCGCCGCAGCCCCCCGGCCGCTCCCGCCGGCTGACCCACGCGGGGCCCGAGGAGCCACTCCCGGCCTCAGGACCTGGGAGCCCCGCCGCGTCCCAGGTGAGGCCCGCAGGAGGAGGAGGAGGAAGAGCGGGGCCGGCGGGGCTGAGGGGCCCTCTGGGGCGGGGACGGAAGGGAAGCGGAGGGGTCTTGGCTCGTCGGGCCGGCCGGGGGAGGCTGAGGGAGAGGCCGGGGAGAGGCGCCGAGCGCCCCCACCCCTCACCCCCCGCGGCTCCTGGCTGGCGCCGGGAGGGGTTCGCGAAGGGCCTTCAAAGGGCGGGAAGGGCCCCTCAGAAAAGTTGAGGCTGAACTTTATGCTCGCCGGGAAGGGGCGGAGGAGCCGCGGAGGGAGGAAGCGCGGGAGGGGGGGGGGTGGCGGGAAACGCCGGCCGCTTTCTCGCGGGGAGGCCTTTCCCAAGCGGTCCCTCCCGGGTGGATTGGGAGGAGGAGGAGGAGGCGCCGGCCAATGACGCGCGGGGGGTCCCTCCGGCTTCGGCCCAAGGCTTGTCCGGGAGCCGCTGCCCGGGATCCACGGCCGGTGGATGGGGCGCTTCTCGGATGAAAACAGGCGCCTGCTCTGCGCGCGGGGTTGGAAGAGCGCTGGGTCGGGTCCGCCCGCCGGGCTCTCGCTCCGACGTGGCTTTTGAGGGATCCGGCCCCCTCGGCGGAGTGGAAAAGCCGCTGTCCGGGTCTTCTGGTCCGGGGCACGGCCTCGCTCCTGGGCTTTTGCCTCGGCTCTCCTGGCGGGTTTCCTTGCCCGGTTGCGGGAACCTCTGCTTGGAAAGGCGGCCCTTGCGCTCTCCGCCTCCCGCTCGGATGCGCCAGAAGCTGCCTTAGTTAGAAGGGCTTTCGCAAATCCCTTGGAATTCATGCAGTGCGTTTATTTATTTATGTTTCTTTTGGGGTATTGAATCTTAGTTTGGAATCAGAATCTTGATTCCAAATCTTAATCTGACTTTGGAATCTGTATCGTAATTCGGAATCAACGTGAATCTTTATTTATTTATTTTATTTATTTATTTGGTTTGTCAATTGCTTACAAGATAATAGGTATAAGTAAAAGCATAGTTATGAATACATGGATACATATAAGAAAAATAAAAGAAACAATAGGACAGGGACAGTAGGC